CAAGGCCAAGGTGCCGCCGCCGGTCCAGCGCCGCGCGCCGCACGACCGCCTCATGCAGTCGATGCGCGACGAGCGACTGCGTATCGAAGCCGACCTCGAGCGCCTCGAGCTCGAGATGGCGGAGCTCGAGTACGACGAGATGTCCGTGTGGGCGTCAATTGACGACTGCATGTGGGCACTGGCGGCGCAGCGCGAGCATCGAGACATGGAGATTGCGCGCGTGGCCACGATGGAGCAGCGCGCGCGAGCGATCCGGCGCATGAACGTTGCGAGCGATGCCTTTTACATTTGGCACAAGGGGCCGTTCGGGACCATCAACGGCTTCTCGATGGGCCGGCTGCTTGCGCAGCACACGGATTGGCACGAGATCAACGCGGCGTGGGGCGAAGCGACGCTGCTGTTACAGCACATTGCCGAGACTCTCGGCGTTGCCTTTCACAGGTCACCACCTCTTCTCTCGCATCTCCAACCCGACCGTAGATACCGCCTCGTGCCGCTCGGCAACGCGTCCAAAGTGATAAGGCTGCAGCGACCCGAGATGGAGTACCACCTGTACGACGCCCGTGTTTCTCATGTAGGCTTATCGCGTGCGGCATTTAGGCACGGGTCGGACCAAGATGCCTTCCCGGAGAGCTTCTTCAACCTTGGCATTGCCGCGTGGCTCGACTGCCTCGGCCATCTCGAAGCGTGGGTCCTGGAGCGCGACTCAAGCTTCCGACTTCCCTACAAGGTAGTCGTACGCGACCTCGCGACGCCTTACGATGATTGTAGATTACGGCAACACACGTGGGCAACTTTTCGCTGCTCTTCCTTCGCGACGACGAAGCCTGGACCAAAGCCTCGAAGAACGCGCTCACGAACCTCAAGTGGCTCCTCGCGTGGTCGGCCAAGCCGCTGGCGACGCCGGCAGCAACGTCGTAGCCTTTGTCTGCACTGCGTTGGCGGTCATCGTCCCGTCGTTGAATCGATGTGTTGAAGAAACAGCAAAACTCTAAAGCGTCTGAGGACTCATCGATGATCCGACATGCAAATGAATTGTGCTTGGCATTTGACGGGCGCTTCTCATTGGCTAAAATTCGTTCCTGACGTGGCGGCCTCATAGCGGTGGCCTTGCAGCCTTATTGTCTCGCACGTATTGAGCTCACAAGTCTCTCATGCATGAACCGTAGTGGTCGATGTCTGTACGATTGCGTTGCCTTCGCTTGAGAGGTGCTCCGCGAGGTTGTCTCGGCCAACGCCCGCGTACTCGTACTCGCCAACGGCGAGCGGCCGCTTGGCACTTGACGTTTTGCGCGAGGACGGTCCTTGCCAGGCACGCAAGCGCCGAATGCCTCTGCGTTTCTATTGTCTAAACGTATACCTGCGTACACCTCCTTGACATCATCACCGTAGCGGAGCAGGAAGTCCACCATATCTTTATTGTCGGAGCTAATTCGATCTGGTGTAATTCGTAAATCGAGATCGGGACGGCCTAATTCTGCCTGCTGCGCTTGCATTATATTTTTCAATGAGGAGACGCCTCCACCAGTAATTCGACCTCGTGCACGAATTCGAGAGGCAATCAGGTGCGTGATCGAGTAGTAACTTGTACCGGTACGATGGCACGGCAACCAGCGCGCCCGATCCTCCCATTGCCCGCCAGCATGGAGGCTGTTGTGACCATCAAGCTTGGCGACCGCGCAAAGTCACGATCAACGGCTGGCCAAGCCACCATCGTGGTCGACTTGCGCGGGCCTTTTTCTCTCATCCAAGATGCCATCGCTCTCGAAGCCAACCGCATCAAGGTCGCGTACGAGGCGACTGAAGCCAACCGCAGAGACAAGATCACGATGGAGCTGCCGAGCCCGCTCCTTATCTTTTTCAAGACGGGTGTCTCGAAGGCGCAAACCGACTACGTCGGCCTTGACGAGGGCAACTTCATTTCCAAGCTCACAACCGCGTGGAAATGCCTCCAAGAGAGACGTTCCGCCGCGGCGGCGACGTACAAGCTCGAGCTTTTTGTCTATGCAACCAAGGCCAAGCAGAACCAGACGACCAACCAGCGCGCCGAGGCAATGACACCTCAAGTAGGATACACGCTCTCGATGAACTGCGTTGCAACTCGTACTCTCGATAGATACACGGTGTCGAACGCACTGGCGGAGACGCTCCAGGACCCAGCACGACCTGGTACATTGCCACGTCATTCGCGCGACGGCCCGCGAGCGACTTGATCAACTTACCCACGTCCGTGACCATTAGGCAAGTTGCCCACGTCGACACCGACACCACGGCCGACGACCGCGCTGACACCGACAGAGATCTTCACGACCTGACCAACTACCGGCGCATTCACTTCTTAGTGAACGGGACGCCCGTGCCGTACCTTGTGAACATTCACGAGCTCCGTGAGGCGTTGGAATAGCTCAGTTCCACTACAACTGTAATACCAATGCTGTATTGCAACACCGTATAGTCAAGAGACATAGCGCCACGCCGGCCGGCCCACGGCGGGGTTTTTGACCCGCTTCTGTGCGGCGCTTCTTCGCCTCGACGATCTCGATCTCGTCGTGCTTTGCCTCCGCGACGTCGTCTCGGTGACCATCGACACGGAGCTCCCGGAGGTTGCAACGTTCGTGCATGCGTGCTTGACCAAGCACGGCTGGGTGACGCTCCCGGCCGTCGACGGTCTCATCCAGCGGTGGTGCGCTGACGGCAAGACCGACGCCGTATTGCATTTGCTATCGAGCCTCGCTGGTGTCGCGACCGACGACGCCGTGTGTCTGCCGCAAATGTGTATCGGCGAGTTTGTTCGCGCGAGCTATGCGACGGCGCCGAACCGATATCTTGTACCCGTACGGCGAAGACCCAGTGACGAGACCTTGTTTCCGCTGCACGGCGACATGTGCGCGCAAGTGGAAGGCGTGAAAAGTTGCCATGCCGATCGGCTCGCCCACAACCTGTACCACGACGCGTGGGTGATCCGCAAGCGCTGTCCAAGGGATCACGAAGAGTTCTGGTGGACCGATTTCATTACAACCCAGCAAATGGCGCGCGAAGACAAGGCGATGGCAGCGACTCTGGAACGCTACCTCGCCGACATAGGGCGCCCGTACCGTCGTGCAGTCGCGTGAATGCGAATAGCGCTCCAGCAATGCCAGATCCAAGTTGACTCACAGATAACACCTCAACGCTAACTTTTTAACATATCCTAATGACGATAGCATCCATGTTGATGTGTGGCTCGACTGCCTCAGTCATCTCAAGGGTGGATCCTTGAGCGCGACCCGACATTTCGCCTTCCCAGGTAGTCGTAGGCACTCTCCGCGAAGCTTTTGGTCGACGAGATTTTTGCTGTTTTTCCTTCGCGACGATGAAGCGTGAACCAAAGCCTCCAAGAACGCACTCCCGAGCCTCAAGTGGCTTGGCCACGCCGCCGGCTGCAACCTCTGACACATTTTGTGTGATGTTTGGTGGGTGTTATTTACGCTATCTGATCCTACTCACGACTCGTCGCCGTCCTCATCGCCGTCGTCTTCGTCCAAGCCGGCGTCGTCTGCGGACCGCTTCTCTCCGCGGTGCGCCGAGAGGCAAAAATGCAAAAGGAGCTCGGCCTCCGGGTTGGCCGGCTCGCTTGGCCCGTCGTCCTCGACAAGCGGCAAAGGTGGCTCGGGTGTGAGGGCCGGGGCGGGCTTGGCACGCTTTGGTCGCTTGCCGTTCGCGGGTGGCGGCGCGACGTCCTTGGCCGCAGTATTTGGCGGCGGCTTGTACGCGAGTGATGAGAAGAACTCTTCTTCGAGCACACGGAGTGTCTCGGTGGCCTCGCGCACGGCTTCTTCCGTGACACTTGGGCAGTCGACCGCTCGGAAGATCTGCTTCCCGATCGAGCTGTTGCCTTTAAGCTTTTTGGTCACGCGCATCGCTTCGCAGTTGAGCTTCTTGCTAAGGAACCACCGCAGTGACGTGCCGTCTTCGATGTCGAGGAGCCCGAGCCTGAAGTAGTGGATCATGGTGTTGGTGAACTTTTCTTCCTCGGGTGTCCACTTGCCAGACCGGAGGCCCGGTGGGCACTTGCTCTT